AGTCTTGATTCACTAGCTTTTGTGATCCTTTCCCATTTCACTTCTGAGGATGAGGCAATCTGTACTTTGAAACCAGTACAATTGCTGAAAATATCGTCAATGTTTCCATTTGTAATGATTTAAAGAGCCAAAGGTTGTTTTGCCTGAAAGGTAATTGCCTTCCACATGGATTCAGGAAATGGAGCAAACAAATTAGTCAATATAACTTAATAAAGGCTTGTTTCTTCAGGAATTACCGCCCAAACACAAGATCATTTATCCTGAAAACCTGTTAAACGTAGAAAAAAATACATGAGTTGGATGCGCTTTTTTTCTCTCAAGTAACTTGGATAAAGACCGCAACTTCCAGTAAGTGTTTTCAACAGGGTCTACTGTTATCAAACCTACTGGGGTTTAATCGTAAGGAATAGCCAAACAATCTTTGGCCTAATGAGCTTGAAATCAAAGTGCAGCAACTTTGATTGCTGTACAATATGTATTCAAAGTATTTGTGACTCTGAAAACTGGTAGTCTGACATTTTGCAGACTTTACTCACACACGCAATCCATAATCTCCCAAGCGCATCCAGTACTTCTGTCTTTCCTGGCGAACGCTGCAGGGTCCAGATTACCACTGTACATTCTTCCAGTGCATGCTCTATTTATCTGACAGACAAAATATACAACTTCTATTTGAAGTTTTAGCTCTTCTGAGTCAGCAGACATCAAATCTCTCTGACTAACTCCAAGAGCAAAACGCAGAGTTCTCAGTACAATGGACACGTAGACAAATATTTATGGTTTACAAGTGTGTAAGCTGTTCATCAACACCTGCTCTTTTTACCCTATAATAAAAATCTATGTAAAATGTGAAGTATTCTACTGACATCAGTCCAGAAGCGTTGGTGTTCTCCAGTGGAGAGACGTTACCCTCTTCTAATAATTGCCTGAATGGAAATGACTTTAAAAAGGTTTCCCTCAGATAGAACTTTGCCCACAAAGCCCTGGGGTATGTGATCTTATTGCAGGGAGGATTTCCTACCTGAAAGGATACTCTCAAAAGTCAGCATCACCACATTTGTGTCCTGTTCTCTTTTACACTGCATTCTTGACCCCTGCTCTTAACATAATCCATAGCCCAAATCACACAGCAGAGAAACCTGCACAACCACCCCCCCCTTATCTGCCCTCTCCCCCACAAGAGAACAACCCAAAACCGAATTCAGTTCCAAGACCAGGAGCCGCATTTCTCTCCCTCTCTCTCGTGTCCCTTCTCAGTGAATAAATAGGACTTTTGTGCTGTAGAGAACCTGATTCTGCTAAGCAGAAACCATCCAGTTTTCTGCTGTAGCCACCTGGGCCACATCACAGATTCATTCTCTGCTTGTTGTTCTGACCAGAACCTGAACATTTTATTGAGACTTTTGTTTTATGCTTACCTAGGTATAAAAAATATTAAACGCATCCCCAACTATAAATTCCCTCCCAGAAGAGCGCTCAACTCTGACAAGGTAAGAAAGGGGAGCCAATGACACGCTTCTTCCCACCTGTGAAGAGCTCCTGGCACATTTCACAGCGCGTTTGCCTCTGTACAAAACACAGCACAGAGCATTCACTAGGGTGTCCTGGGCTCCCGACCCTGTTCTAATAACTAACAGCAAATAATCATTACTGGAGCAGGGTCTGGAACTCAGTTTCTTCTCTTATAGGGGAACGTCCTAACCACAAGCTATGCCAGAAACTCTGCTCTCCTTGTGACTCCAGCTGTCTCGCTGTCCCCAAGCACTTCAGAGATTGACCCGTTCATTTCAGTAAACACTCTCAGGTGCGTGAGTTAATGTGTTGACGGATCCCACACTCGCATCCTGCCCAGTTCAGTGCTGAAACCACAGACATCTCAGGTTCTGCAATCTGTTTCTTCAGGTGTGTGGGTGAAGGGCTGAATTTATGATTAACGTGACTTGATTCAGACAATCACTTTTCCTCAGGGAAATAAAAAAATGCCGCCCTAATACATCTTAGGTGTCAACAAATATCAAAGCTCCTCTTAAAAGTTTAGTCCTTTAAAAGTTTCAGGCTCTGCTCCTGCCAGTTGCTCTGTCTGGGCTGTGTCCTGCCTTTGGGAAAGGGTTGGTACCAAACCTTTGCGCAGTCTGACAAGTCCCTACACATGGAACAGTTTTCAAACCAGAACACCTCTTCCTGCAGTTGCTGGGAGCCGTTTTGTACAGCTGTATTTCTGTAGAGGCTCTGATTTTCTTTGCTACAATCTCTTTATGCATTCTCAAATTTACCTCCAAATTCCACTGGAAAAGGTATAGAACTTCAGTGGATGTATTTTCGTGCTATAAATGCGTGAGCCGCAACAAAATTGACCAGTGAAAAACAGAAAAATTAGCAGAAAAAAAGCTAAACTATATCCACTCCCTTCTTTAGCTGAAGTTGTCTTCCTGCTTGTCCATCAGGTCAGAGAACGAGCCAAAGAACGTGAAACTATGAGAGATACCCACAGACAGAAAAAGATAAAGGGACAGATAAAATTAAAGAACAGAGCACCAGAACAGAAATGCTCCACTGAGTGGAAACAGAAAACGGAGAAGGGACCAGTGAAAGTGGAAGTATGGCAAGGGTCAAACAATCCAGCAACACCACGGTCATCAGAGTCCAAGTACTTCCTCTCAGGCACATTTCATTCTTGTAAGTAGCACCCCAATGAAATCACTGAGACTATTAACACGAGTCAAGTTACTCACATCTCTGTTTTCAGGATTAGGATCGCAGGGAAGACAAGCAGATAAAGGAGGATCTCTTGGGCGTCTTCAGTTCTCTTCGAAGTCCAGGGGGACTGACGGGTGGAGAGGCATTACCGCTACAGAGGTAGCGGAATGAGAGGAGGAGGAAAGAGATGGGATGTCCCCTGCTTACCGGCAGTCATTGCCGATCTGCACTGTAGCAGCATCCAGTCCCATGAAGTTCCTTGCAGGAGCTTTTCTATTTTTATGTGTAAAACAAATTTTTAAAACAAAAAAACAAAAAACACAGGGGTTGAACCTCATCAACTCTCCTCCTATGAGTAAAGGTTACTGGATCTCACCCACACCTCTTATCTTCTGTAAAGCAACATGAACTAAGTACGGTAATACCTTACAGTGACAAGGATGAGTGTTAACATTCCTCTAATAGAAGGTTTTGCAACCAGCCTGGCAATAAACTCAGATGGTTCACAATGGAAGAAGAAAAAAAAAAAAAATCAGCTGTGGAAAACTGCTATAGATCCAATTGAAAAAGCTGCTGGAAAAAAGTTTTGAGATAAAAAATAAAAAGGTATCTCTCGTCTTGGCCTCTGTACCCTTAGACTGCATTTATTTTCCGATCAAGATATCTCTCATTTGGCTTTAATACAGATTTCTCCTTTTATGCCAACTATGCAGACAAGAAATCTGAGAATTTACATAGCACACTGATTCCCGAAAAAAAAAAAAAATTCTTCCTCTTTCCCCGTTTTCTAGAACGCTCTTAGAAAACCCTCCCATTTTGATACAATTTACTATAAAGGGTCACCATTCTAAATATCTCCATGTATTTTTTAGGGAGCTAAGCCACCTAACCAGTGGTCATCACAACTCTGACCATTCCCTGAAAACAACTGTACTCTGACATATAGATTCAAACTTTGATCAGCTGCAAATATCCTTTGATCTGGGGGACCGGTTTTGTATTCTTTCTCCTATCAGGCTGGCTACCTTAAGGACACAAAGCTGCCAAGTTGTCACCTGCTAATGCCAGGTGGCAGCTAGTGACCAGGTAACCCGCAGTCAAGAACAGAGATGCTCACAGTACATTGCAGTGCGTGCTGAAAAACTGAAGGAACTCCAGTAACGGCAGAAACAGAGAAGAGTGAAAAGATAAAGGTGATTACTCCATAGGATGTTACGGATTTTAGTGTGCTGACTGCTGATTCAGGAAGACATTTCTACCCGGAATTCACATCTAATCACACGTTTAACCTTTAAATCAATGAAACGTTAGCATAAGCACGTGCTTAGGGTTATGCATTCCAAGGGGTTCCTCAGTGAACAAGCATCAGTCGAAAAAAAAATTTTCCAAAAAAATTATCCAGGAGCATAAACGATCGGTCTTCCATATGTTAGGAGAACTGTAAAAAGTATTTAAATAGTTTTATTAACTGAAGCAATCAGCAATCTTATTCCACACAAACACTTTTTAACCACAACATTTTGCTTTTTATGTAGCAATAATTTACAATTAACTGTCAGCCTAGCTGTGATATAATTGTATGAAGGGAATAGGACTTTATTACACACAGCCCATCTCTTCCAGGAGATCTTGTTACAAGTCAATATGCTACCTGATCTTCATGAGGGCTTTGGAAATCAGCCTTCCACTGAAGAAAATTCATGTAAATAAGGCGGGAGAAGGTAACATTACGTAACTGGACAAACCGTTAGGAAACATCCCGAACTATCTATCCATTTCTCCACAGCACAACAGCTGAAGATGCAGAGGATTTCATGCAATGTTCCAGGCACTTAGTAGGTTGCTGTCTCTCAGCTGAGCCAACGTTATCTGCCCTTTTTACATTCTCCCTGCACTACCTGAGCTGAGAAATAAAACAGGTTAGCTTAACCTTATACCGCTGAAGCTGAAATACTTCACAAGCCTGTAGGGCATATTGAAATTGATGGGAATTAAGTACTGAAACGTCTCGAGAGATCTGGGCTTTGATTGCCTCAGTGCTGATCAAACATTACACGGAAAACACAGATGCCTGCTACTTTCTTAGCACTGTGATAACTCCAGGCAAATCCTGTACCAGAAGAATGCATCTCTCTGTGGGAAGGCAGAAAATTGTACAGCACCTGGGATAGCTATCTCTTGCGGTAAAACTTTGCAAGCAAGGTGGTTTTCATTTAGCTAGTATTTTGAGAGTCAAGCTAGGTGAATGAGGTGAAAATTATATTCCTACTTGTAAAAGGAGAGAGAGTAACCAGAGAACGAAACAAAAGCTTAGTACCATTACTACTTATGTCATCATACGTTTACAGGAACTTCGTAGCTTCTTTAGAACAGCGTGGCTGGAGAAGATCCTGTTTCTCATCACTCACATATTCAGTCCTCAAAACTAAACTGGACTAAGGTTTTGGGGTTTTGTTTTTTACTAACTGGGTTTCCTTATTATTATTAATTTTCCTTTCTTTTTAAAATAGCGTTGTTAAGTGTTGTTTTGGTTGATACCACTGTAGATGAGAACACAATTTAACCCAATTTTGACTACCATACTGTTACAGTTTTATAGCTAGCCCCCAGAACGGTTCTTACTTTTCTCTGAAAGTTAATTTCAACACAAGCAACTATATCTGAAATAAAGCTAGTGAAATTATACTTTCTCACCCGAAATCATAGCTGTTCTAACAGTTTTAATAGAACATGATGGGCAGTTACTGCACTTTATCTCCGAATGTGCACATGATATACCCCTGTATTTGTTGCTTTAGTAACAAAAGCCATCACTCCGTTTTGTAATCTTTCTTTTGCCTGGTGAAACGGATATCTGAGATGAACACATACAATATACAATAAAAAGGACATAGATTTTTTAATCAGAACTTCTGTGAAAAGAGCTTGCTTTTAACTGTTGGATGCTACTGACATACAAAATATTATCATGGTTAACCTCCCCCAAAGTAATATTATTATTAGATCTCAGGCTATACATAGTCAATAAGCAACTCAAAGCCCAGTCCATAGCTCTGTAATTACTCCCTTTTTGCAATTAAAGCAGAAAGACGCTAAGTGTTTGGGAACAGATAAGCCAAGTCACTGGCGGAACTAGACACACTGGGCCAGCAATGTGCCCTTGTGACAAAGGTGGCCAACAGCCTCCTTGGCTGCACAAGGCCGAGCACTGCCAGCACGTTGAGGGAGGTGACCCCCTTCCCTCTGCTCAGCACCGGCAAGGCCACATCCAGAACACATGTAAAAACGCCTGATGGGGTAAGTAAAGAAGACAGGGTCAGACTCTTCTCAATGCTACCCCATGAACAGACAAGAGGTAACGAGCACAAACTGAAACACAGGAAACTATACTTAAACAAAAGAAAAAAACTTGTTTACTGTGAGGGTGACCGAGCACTGGCAAGGTTGCCCAGAGAGGAGCAACTGTGGAGTCTCCACACATGGAGATACTCGGCACCCAACTGGACACGGTTCTGGGCACCCTGCTCTAGGTGACCTTGCTTGAGCAGGGCAAGTTGGACCAGACGATCTCCAGATGCCCCTTCCAACCCCAACTATTCTGTTTTTTCAGGGTTTTGGTTTTTTTTTTTTGGGCTAAGGCGTGTTGTTTTGACTCCACTGGTCTAGTCACTAAATCACACTTTCCCAAAGCAAAACAGAGAGAGACAAAAATCTGCTAGAAGAAAGACTATACTATGCAGAGTAATTAATTATCAAGATTGTCTACTCAGAGTTAAGAGTGGTCAAATATAGGATGCTTTGAGATGGAGGAGGCAGACAAATGAAAGAGAATAGGGATGAAAAACAGATGCAACGTCTGTCTGGAATAAGACTTGACTACTTCATTGCTAAGACCTAGAAAGGACATGCTATTTCTCATTCTCTTTGTTTTAAGGCTATTTTGGTCCCTCATCAATTCTTCTGAACTGTTCAACGTCAATACTTTGATTAAATATACTATATATATAAAATATACCCATACAAACCTAGTATTGTATCACTAATACGCTGTAGTGAACTTTCCTTCACCCTCATGGAGAAGGAATTTTTATCTTATACCGCGCTTTGACAGATTCTAAATAAAGAGTTCCTTACAAAATAGTGCATTTTGCATAGCATCATTCAGTCCATGACTGAAAAGCTGTTGCAGATGAGCAGAGACTACAAATACGATACAAATCAGGCAAAATGAGTAGAAACGGATCAGGCTCAACTCACAACTGAGACAAATCACCACAATCAAGACTGCTAGATCATGTTACGGCAGTTCAGCCTCTGCCCCTTTGAGTCTCCCAGCACGCGTCATTGAGATTTACACTTCTGCGGGGATTTGGACAGGCAGAACATAATTACCAGTGCCGGAGTTTTAACAAGTCTCTGGTCCTGTAATAAGTGCCCAAGGATCTTTGGCAGCCCAAAGCGGCAGGAACTTCAGTCTCATACGCTACCAGGAAAATAAATTACTAATGACACCGGTATCATTTGGACTTTGTTCTTTATAGTTATGTGAGAAAGAGCTGCCTATTTGTAAAACAACAAGTGTAGTAGCACCTTCAATTATTTCATCTCCTATGAGGAAAATACTCTCTCATCAATGTTAAGATATATTCCATTTTGTCAGGAACTTAAACCACTATGCGTTGCATTGATGTATAACTTAACCGTTGGGCTGAGGAAGCACTGACCAAGAAAGCATTTCTGCTTTGCAAACAACCGGGCAACAACATTCCTCACAAATTATGTGTAAGCCATATACTGTAACAGATGTGAATTACACAAAGAAAGCCAAATATAGCTCAGAGTATTGCATAAAAGGAAATCAGAAGGGTCCTACTTGTGTGCCTGTCCTACTCGTGTAGCCCATCTTTTTAAGAAAACTAAATATATTGGCTTCCTCTGCTCGTGGAGTAAAACGATTAGCTGCTCTGCCAGCAATGACTTTCTGCACGGTTAGGTTTGCCCTCCTGGTGGCCTTACAGCTCTAAAGAAGTCACACTGGCAGAGCTCCCATGGCTGGTGGCTACCTGGGAGACCTTTGGAGGAGAAGTCCTACTGGGAGATGCTATTACCATTCCAACCCTATTTCCACACACTTCGGACACTCTCTGGCCCGTTTCCCTCACCTCACAGCCACAGGTCACAAAGAAGCCCCTTTAGGAGCTAGGACTCACAAGCAGGAAGTAAAGTCTTTTCTCCTGGAACATGGTACACAAGAGACCATTGAGAAGAGTCACCTCCACACAGAAGTTGTGCGAGATAACTGTTTCGCGCACAATAGCCATTCACTCCATGCAACAGTGGTTGCATTCACAGACTTCTAAATGTATCTGAGCTATCTTTCAGACAAAACACCCTAATTAATTTTTTGGTGCTTTTGAGGCACTACCTTTCAAGAGCAGCAGGAAAGGAACGCCACAGACAAGAAGTTATTGTCCAAGTTCTGCGCCAGCGCGAACTGGCTGTGCCCCGCATATAGAGAAATCTCATGCATTATTGCTGAAGATAACACTATGACTTAGTATCAGGCAAAGAAACCTGGAAAGCCTATTAGATGCCTTTTCAAGAATACACATGCCTGCATATTCCCAAAGCCTGTTTCACTTCCATGTGAGAAAAAAATCTCCGAAACAAGACTAAAACCACAGCCCACTGCTTAATGACTAGTGCTGAAGTGGAAAACACACAGTACAACTGGAAAATTATACGGCACTGGTATTCTAGCAAAGTCAGTCTTTGGATACTCCACAAAGCTTATGGGAAATAAGATGTCAATAAAAAGAATCTGAAAATTCAACGTAAAACTCTTGATTCATCCTACTCCCTTCTAAGTCAGTGGCAAAACTCCCACTGACTTCATTGCAGACCTGACAGAACCAAAAGTTCTCTACAGCCTTTTGACCAGTCTAAGAACGGGCCATGTGCAATATGAACTAATATTAAAATACTTGGTGATTATACCAACTGTATCAACAAAAAAGCAGTTTCCAGTCAGGCTTTCATGATTTTCATCAATGACATTTCTTCATCGTAGTTTTCAACGATAACAAATTTAAACGGGAAAAAAAAACGTATCATACACGCATCCACTTTAAGTAATTCTATTTTCCTTTAAACAGGTATATTGTTTCATGAAAACTTGTAATTCAGCTAGCCATGGACTGTGGGCTGGTGCAAAGAAGGAAAAAAAACCCACAGTTCTGAGGCTCTAAACAATGGGTGCTACTCCAGCACAGTGCAGTGGCTTCCAGCCCGCTGTCTTATTTAACAGACTGAATTTTCTATTATGTTTTAGAGGGTTTTGCATTCTTTCCTTCCCCTCGAGTCAGCCCTGGGTACACTTCACAAGTCTGCTGGTTGTGATGGATTTCATCCATCTCTTCCGTTCCAGTTTGCAAGCACACCTCTTTAATGTCTGGAGAGAGCTGTAACGTGTTTGCTGACCACAAGCAACGCACAAAGCATTTGCACTGGCACCTGTCTTGTACGCGATGGTACCACCACACACTATTCCTCACGGTTTGGGACACCAGGGAGCTTGTTCCCCATCGCGTGCAAAGTGAATGGTCCTGTATACAGTGGGGTACTCTTTACACTTACACTGTTGACAAGCACGTCGCTCTCCTCACGTCCACTGCCTCCTGTCCCACGGCACCTCCAGCGCAGGCTCAGCTGCACACAGCAGCCCAGCGAGCAGGAGCACTGAGGTGGCATCGCCGGGACGGCTTCCCGCGGCCACCGTGAGCGGCGGAAACCATCACAAGGAAACACAGGCAAGAAGAGTATTTTGTTAAAGAGAGCAAAGCAGAAGTAACCGTTCTCCTACAGGTGTGCTGGGGCCCACACTAAGGGGAAGCTTAAAAGCCATTATCAGTTTAAACAGCAAGCACTGAAAAGAACGCAAACGTTCCTCCACTGCTGCTCCCTCTTTTCCCCACTGCAGAAAATAGGGTTGCGGACTCCTCCTTTGCGACTCCAGCGGCTCGTAGGGATCTTCTTGGCCTCAGAAGCTTTAAAGGCATGAGGCTAAACAAGCCGCCAAGCCACCGCCACTGAACCTGGTTTGAGCACGTCGACCGAGAGCTCCCCAAGCAAATATTTCCCTCGATCTGGGCTCTAAAGACTTTATCGCTTCAAAAAAAGCAGAAAAGGCAGAGCCTGCAAGCGCCCTGGCAGAGCCCGCTCCACGCCCGCGAGGGGCTTTCAGCATTGCCGCTGCTCGTCCTCAGAGGACCCCCTAACCCAAAGAGACCCAACCGCCCCTCGGTCCCGTCAGCGCCCTCAACCCGACGCATCTGACTGTTTAAAGCCCCCAGGTTGGCTGTGTCCCCCCGGGAACGCATTGGTTTAACGCCTTTCCACCGCCCAACGG